CCTATCATCCGTACATACTTCCAGGGTCCAAAGCTTTGACAAGCCCAAAACCCACAACCCTGAACCCCAGTCACTGAATCTTCATCTCGTCGCCCTATAATCCCTAATGTCTGAATCCCTAATCAATCCCTACTGTCTGGGCCCTTATCTCCAAACCCTAGACCCTCACCCCTAAGCTTAAAAATCCTTCTAGCCACTTGAAGAGGATCGAGGGGTACCCCCCTACCCTAGAAGTCCTCCAATGACAGTGACGGGGGGTATGGCTTCACTAGGACCCTGGAATTGTCGCATGCCTACAACAGCATACCACACGCACCCTTATTCTTGAAAGTTTTGAAGATCCAAATTTTTAGGACTAGTACCTAGTCGCCTTGAGGCGGCTGTACCTCGCCAACATGATAGTTTCCATGTTTTCCATTGCTTGCTGAGCACAAGAGTCACAAAACCAGAGCCTTTGATCCTTGAGTCACGTCCTCACCGGAACCCTTCAAAACCCAAAGGAATGTTTGGCGACTTCCCGCTCGCTCTTTTCGGCTGGCCTGCAGACACTTTATAGTAAGCCTGATAGCAGTACATTGATTTTGCTGGGGGCTCAAAGTAGCCCAAGCCCCTGAGCCGAGAAGAAAAGAGTTCAAGCTAAGTGGTTGGAGCTGAAGCTACATAGTGACCAGATACTGTCACACTGTTTCTCATACTTTCTGTTATCAGATTGCAGACTAGTTGTTCAGAATATACCTGCGGGCGGAAGGAAGAAGGTCTCAGAACACTTGGGTGGCTTGTGAAGATGGCCTTAGTTCAGGCCAACTGAAACGGGACTCAGCCGGCCTCACCTAGCGTCCTAAAGGTCCTGGAAGGCAAGTTAGTTGAGAGCCGCACTGGAGTCTCTCGAGAAGTGGCCTTCCCTTCTTGACGCGTCTATGTTGAGGAACAATATACATGTTGTCAGTGCCGTTATGGTGCTTAAGGGAGGCTGGGCGACTGGATTCCTTTAGCCATGCCCCTCAATTCCCCTATGTGGAGTTGTACAGGGGTAGCTACAGGGATCCAAGCCCCTACTCACCCTTAAGCACCAGCAAGGTGAAGAGTATACATCCAAGCAGTTGTGCGGCACATGGACTTCAAACCGAACCTTTTGCGAGAGAGACCACGCCAAGGTCAACCAAAGCTGTGAAACAGAGACGTGCTCTCAGGCAAACCAAATTCACAGGGAGAAGTCTTTGGGCTTCCATGTTAGTTTGGACAATGGTATATACTCTCTGCCCTAAGCCCCTTACATTGCGCTATGCATAGAAACGGAATGTAATATAGAAATCTATATATATATATACATATATAGCCCAATGTACCCCCCCATAATGGCCTAAAGGCCAATTTGTTTTTGTCGATTCTCCAGGCATTCACATGCCTCGGATGTTAGATGTGAAGACGCTGCTGGCCAAAGCAGCAAGGTCCTCAGCGGTGCCTTACTATGCTTCGGGGGGATAGGGTTTTGGGTTCAACAGATCCTCATGAGCATCTTTGTTGAATCATATACGACCCCGAAGTACTATATTCACTCCCCCGCTTCTCCTTTAACCAGCCAGAAGGAAAGACCGCCAGGAACCTTTCCCGCTTGTTTGGCAGCGGATGGAAAATTGGTCTAAAGGAAATATTATTCGGATTCTACAGGGGCTACTATGGTGATCCATGTCTTCGTTCCATCAATAGCAGAGACGGGAAACTAGCATTTTTGGGTGCTTAATAGGGCATGAGCGGATGGATACCTACAGCATCCTATATAATCCCAATAGTGCGCTCTCGTATCCATCCCCCCATTCCCTACTAAGCATCCGAGCGGTTTGCTGTGAGTTAGCATCTACGAACTTGATGTACAAGCCTGAAAGATTACCAGTACAATTTCACGGTGTTTTGAAATTCTGTCTTCATTGTTTTAAATTGTTCAAGTCCCAAGATTCTACACATGTACGCCCTTCGCGCCAGTCGCTTCAAGTATTGGATCCAAAGTGCAGCAGCGAAAAATTGTTTAGGTTTGGGTTTAGGATTCCGCAGAAAAGGCTTGGTGCAGCCATGTATACAACCCACATGCAAAAGCATTCCCCCGCCCCCACCCCTCATCCCCCTCCCTTCCCGTATGGTTAAACTGTTGCCTGTCTCTTCGCGGTCCCGTGGCCTGTGGTCTAAGTCTTGTGGTTTATTAGGTTTGGTGTATAAAGGGTTTCTGGTGTGTATACACGGATCATAAACAGGTCATGAGGTCTTACGGAAGGTTTGTAAAAAATTAAATGAGGTTTCATGGATGGTTTGTATAGAAGGTTTGTGCAGTCTTGTACAAGGCTTGGGCTTTCAGAGGTACCTCCCCGCTGTGGTCCTGTACCACCCAGAAGCTAGCAGGGTCCCTGTCTAAAGGTCCTTTTTAAAGGGCCTAGAAATCAGATTCATGCGTTGTTCTGCGCCTGACTGGCAGATGAGCCAGGACAAGCTGTACATCACCAGTAGTTCACATCAACCAAAAGTGGCACCGTTCCAAGTTGTCAAGCAAACAGCTACCTTGAGGACCACGAGGGGTTTAGGGTGATGGGCGGCCTGCAACTGCTGGCTAAATTACAACAACCTCACCCCAAGTGGTGGTTCATGGACAATGGTCTCAGCCTCGCGAGGGTTCTGCACCCTAAACTCAAACTCTTTAGTTCCTTGGCGCGAGCTAGAATTACAAGGAGGGGGATACCTTTCTACACCCTCAACTTTGTAGACGTGGATTGAGAAGCCCCAGTTGCCTCCTCAAAGCAGTAACTTCCTGAATACGATGCAAGACGCCACCAAGTTCGGCGTCATGTTCAGCGTTGGCGCCGGCCTGCCATGCGGCAAGGCAAGAAGTCAGGGAGCCCCTGAATTGAGGAGTATACTTATAGTATCTTTTAATACCTTAGATCATTTTTGGGGTTCCTCGTGTCATTTGTACACTCCAACTGGGCCCTGTGGTGGAAAGCGCTTGGGCCAGGGCTTGCAGTTTCCGGAATCATGTTCGCGTATTGGTATCCGTGTAAAAGTAACAGTCATAGGATAATGGGAAATGCATGTGAGCTTGTCGAATTTGCGGCCCCTTCTTGCGCCCTAGACAGCTGCAACAAATTAGGGTACCCACCGAAAAGGGGCCTCATCCCTCTAACCCTGAACAGCACAAGGTTTCAGTCCTCAAGTGCGGTGCGCGAGCATCACCAAGCAGCCCAACAGCTCTTGATAAAGGAAAAGACCTTGTGTCATATTGGAATCGAGGGGCATTGCGCTTTCCGGGGGGGAACACCGCGTACACCCCAGTCGTGTCCTATGAGCGCTTTGTAGGCAACTTGAAGCCGAACTCCTGGAACGCACCTAAAGTCAGCATTCACATGGAAAGATCATGCAGGAAGGGCCGATGATCCACAGCGGTGCCATATGCGGATCCTTGTGTCCTGGCAGAAGTGGGAGTCCTCGGCAACTTTGGTGTGTGAAAGGCAGAGCACCTTTCGTGGTGACATTGTTGATGGAGAAAATGTTGCGCTACCCAGAGCCCTCAGGTTTCTCCATAAACGGCATGGCTTTGCTGCAAGGGATTTTGGATCTAGAGATGAAAGTTGGTAGAGGACCCACAGAAGGAATATACCTTAGGTCATACTGAGAGTCCTAGTATCGTTCAGAGTTTTTTCCTTAGTTTAGGCATATTGCATGTACTCCCGGGGGAGAGTAGGATTCGAGACAACGGTCGAAGCAGCGCTCATCGTTCTGGCCGCGGTGCAAGAAAAGTGCCTCTAACTCCAAAACTTGGGGCTTCTTGCGTTGAGCAGCGCAGACTCGCAGAACCTTCAACCATCGTTGTTTGAAGAACTTTCGGCCCCAACGCCGAGCCGAGTGTCCTACATGCTGCCTAAGATTCTGTGGAGTTGGGATAGTCAAGCTTCTTCCATCAGGACTTCGCGGGTCTTTTGGACAAATCGGCTGCGCCCGATCAACATGGACAAGGCTCCGCGGGATGGAGGATGCAGGTACAGTGATGTTGAGGGTTCGGGATGACTCAGGGGCTCAATCCTCAGAACACTCGGCTCACTCAGCTCACTCAGGAATTCACAGCCCCTCACTCCATCATGTACAAATCCACATTCAACCCAGGGCCTTGATCGCATATCTGGGGGATACGACCCGGTCTGGGCGATGGCGATTAGCAGTAGCAGTGGCGGTAGCAGCAACAGCAGAATCATTTTTTGAATACTTATTGGTTGCTGTCACTGATACTTCCACCCAACTGCAGTGCAATCTCTTCTGTGGCTACTGCGTTATCATTGGCAAAGTAGTATGCTCATGATAAGAACAGATCGAGGTTTCTCAAAACAGAGGAGCCCTCAGGAAACCATATACACGGGCTATATGAGGGGACCCTTATTTGGGACTACCTATCCCAAGGCACCGTGCTTGCGTTATTCACCGCTATTCGCCAGGAGCAGCGTGATTTGGTGACGGCGGGAGCTGCCGCAGGCGTCTCTGCCGCTTTCAGTGCGCCTGTGGGCGGTGCCACTGGGACCAGGTTGAGGCTCTGTGTAGGGCTGCGGTTCTTCGTTGGCCGTCCATAGGTAGGTTTGCTCAGATAGCCTTGCTCAGTTAGCCTTGGAGTTGTAGCCTAGCCATAAGCACATTTGAGAACTTACGGTGCTCGTCATTTAGTTATGCCTACGCTTGAATGAAAGTAGGTTATACGCACTCATGGACTACCGAGTAGGGATTAGGGTATAGGCTGCAAGGGTTGGGGTCTACAGACAAGAGTTTAGAGATCGGCATTTGGAGCTTTGGAGCACAAGTGATCTTTGCTGGGGCTTCAATGTTGGGATGCAACTAGGCATGGTTGCACTCTTGTTGCAGCCCCGTCGGTAGCTTCCCTGACCCCTGATATTTGTAGTTTGGATCTCCAGCCAACAATGTCCCCGCGGTCTTGTGCCGAGGTCCTCTTTGCAATCGAGGAGGGTGCCACTCACATGAGTGCAGCTTGCCGCAGCACAAACCCAGGACTGCCTCATTTTTTAAGGATCCCATACATTCCGCAAATTAAATTCAAAGCAAGTCTGGCTAAGAAAGCATTGTTTAGGGCATCTCTTTGCCCTCGTTGGCCGGGCGGGCTCGGGGGCAGGATCTCAACAAGATAGTTCTTGCAATTGAGGAGTGGATATGTGTTATTTTGTGCATAAAGCATGTGAAACAATGGGGGGCCAACCAAAAACGATTAATTTACATCACTGACAGAAGCCTGAAAGGGATGGAGACCTCTCTGTCGGTTGCGACATGTAACTTTGTTTGATGGTCTTGTCCGTCAGCGTTATGATGCTTATTCACTTTTCAGCAGCTTACTTGCAAACATCAAAGCCTCACCCAAAAGCGTGCTGTTGAATGCTCGCATTGAAGATTTGTTTTGTGTCTGCGAGTTGCATTTCTGTGTTTACGGGCCCTTTGCACTGCAGAAGCCCAACTTGTCGCGCGCTTGTGGATGCTGCATGAGCGCAAAGGCCACCTGGTCACCTGGTATTCAAATGCAGCTCCAAGTAGAAATGGGATTCTCCAACTCTCCACTGATTCTGGAATTTCAGGTGCCACGACAAGCCCCCCAAATGCAATGTAGGAGGTTCCATTATCTTTACTATTCCTTCAGTCCCTACTAGCCACCAGTATGCTCCACTAAACTGGATATCATGTGATGCCCCACCACCAAAAGTTACAAGCTAGAAATGCTCGGGCGCCCGAATATAAGTTTCATTGTCCCTGTCGGTCACCAATCGTGGGTGGTGCGTTCACCCAAGGTAGATATCATGCTGAAGACCTTTGTGGCGGCTGCCTGCGCTGCACTCGTTGTGAGATTTTTCCATGGTGGCTTCGACACGTGAGCCGGCCGGAGAAGTCTACTCTTGGATACTGTCCCCAGCGTTGCAACTGTTGCAATAGAACATGTTTGATTACATTATTTAGGAGCAGTACACGGTACATCCTTATGGGGTCCCTTTGGGAGGGTAGGCCAGCGAAAGCATTCCTAGGTGCCTGCTCCACAAACTCCACGCGTAGATTTCTGGTAACAAACGACTTCTGACAACAAGTATGTACGCCGCATCATGCCAAGAAGTTTTCGCGGTACCCCCCCGAACTATAGATTGAATCGCATAAGACACCCGTTTAGAACGGCGGCGAAAGCTTCTTGAGTGCCTTGCATACATGTTTTTGAGTCAGACGACCTCTCACCAGGCTTATATTGTACTATAGTCAGCAGTAGGGCTTTCCTAAGCCCTCCGCCCTTAAATTAGCTTCAAGATATCTATTGTGTCCAGATCCAAGGGGGCTTTGGGGGATGCTTGGCTCCACCGTTCCTTTGGAGTTTGGCGCCCTGCCGGACCTGAAGTACGCCATTTGGGACCGCCTGAGTGCTGAGACATTCTTTGGGAACCGGGGGCTCCTTGAAATGTACAGTAAGGATGGTCAAGAGTTTGGGAGTTCCATAAGTCAAACTGTCAAACTTGTCCTTACATAACATCTTCAAACTTGTCCTTACATAACATCTTCAAAGGGCTCCCAAAACTGTCCCACGATCCCCAACGGACCTGGCATTGCAACTGTAGCGCTGAAGTTGAGGGAGGTGATATCTGAGTCGTGCTCTCTTTGTCAGGCTTGCTGCAGTAGGCTTCGCATTGCAGCTTCTAGGATGGATGGAGTGTTCGGAGGAGCTTCCCTAGTCCTCGTGGGAAGATCACAGGCCATCAGGCAGCCTCGTGTACCAGAAACCAGGCGCTAATTAGTCCTTGAGCCCTAAACTCCACCCAAACGTGAAGTGGCCAACGGGTTCACGTAGGACTTCCTCCGAATTACCTGCAGTAAATCCCGCGCAGGGACCTCCAGAATCCCTCTCTAAGCCCTCGTTCTCCTCATTGTCCCTACCAGTCTCCCATTTTGAACAACCTCTTAATTCCTCAGTAAACCCTATACATGCCTGCCATAAACAACCGAAAATGGCTCCTGTAAGCCATTCACTGCCATTCACCCGTTCCTTACAGAGCAGCAGGGGACCCTAAACTCAAAACCTTGGCCCCTAAAAGCGGAAACACTAAATTCCTGAACCCGCTAGCCTTCAAACCTGAAGCCCTAAATGTCCAAACCATCAGCCCCTAAGTCGAAGACTCCGGCAGGAGCTTCCTGCGTTTGCATTGCTTGGCATTCTGGGTGGCCTGATGGGCGCTTTGCCGCTCGGCGCACATTTGCAGGACAAAGCAGGTGTTGAAGAACTGGAAACGAATTTGGGAAGCTACCGTGATTTCGGGAGTTCGGGATTGAGTGGTCAGTGGTGGCCTCACCCGACATCACCCCAAATGGTGGTTATGTGCGACATATTCCTGAGATATATGGGACAGATGTCGGGCGTAGAGCTTGAGGCCCAAGCTCAGAAAAATTAGAACCTCACTCTACCTGACGGCGTGTGTAGAAAAGTAGTCCAACATAGTTTAACACCTGAAGGGCTGCTTTTGTCATATCTTGCTCACATGATAGGAGCTCAGAGTTTGATATCTAGTGGCAGGTTAAAAAGCAACCAAGAATGCTGCACAACCATTTGACCAGCCTAGTGCTAGCCGCTTCGAAGTTGTGGTGTTAAACCTTCCCATTCACTTTCCCTACCACTCCACATTCCTCACTCCTTTAAAGCAAAAAAAGGTCTTCCGAACAAAATGCGCTCATGGAGGGAATCTGGCATTGTTTACTCTGGGGAGATGATATGGATCTTGGAGCTAGAATCAGCTGGAGACTCCCAGGGCACGCCAGACAGCATTGCAGGTACAACTGGCTCAACGTGAAGATCACGAAAGTGAGGCATGCGGCGACACAAGACTGTGCATTTGCGGCTGCAGGGAAAGATACGCAACAGTAAACTATACCCCAAGCCCGAAACTTTCCCAGGAGCGCCTGCCGGCTTTTTGAAGGCCTGTGGTCCCCACAAGGGTCAAGCCCTGTCGCCAAGAAAAAGAGCCAGACAGCACATCTCCTGTGTCAGAAGCCAGCAGCCATGAGAACAGAGCGCCGAAAGGAATGAGAGCTCTTTCCAGATAGGATGAACTTCCTAAAAACCTTTGAAGTTCCCAAAGTTCCCTGAATAGGATGAGATTCATTGGGCCCACTGGCGTGCGGCGGTGGTTGGAGGTGCTCTTCCTCACTTTTGCTACTTGACATTCAGGCTTCTTCCTTTGGACTTTTCTGGGCAACAGCAGCTTCGGAATCAAGATTTGCAGGGATCCTGAGCAGCCCGCAAGAAATTATCTTCAGAACAGTGGACTTTTGCTCAGGTACAAATCTTTGTAACCTAGCAGCCTGACAGACAATTATTGTCCCTTCAGAACCCCTGTACCATTATAGCATGCTTCAGCACGAAACCCTCTTGTAATTAGTTACGTGCCCTAGATGGAGCCAGTCATGCTCTGCAAGCTCAGGTTGTGGCCACCATCAAGTTTACTGTGCCTGTCCTCCTGATGGACGGAGTAGGCAATGTCTTCGGCTCCGTCAAGCAGACGCTCTGGCCCAGCGCTCAGACACCCCAAAACTCCTCAGCACCATTGCGACAACTGTCGTCTTCTGCTGTTTTGGCTTGCTTCGCGCATCTTAGACGCACGTGGGCCCCAGACAAGTCTTGGGGGCCATCCACTACGTGGTCATACGCACAATCGGACTTGCGCACACATCACGAACACAGCCTTGAATTGAAGCACCAAGAAGCAAAGCAGGTCAACTATGAACATATGGTGGAGGTGCGCAAACATGCCGACATGGTCGCCCAGACAGCTACAGAACCAGAACCATACGCACAGAGGCTGAAATGGAACAGTGATTATGACGAGACAAAAACAACAGCACAGTTTCAAGCAGAGACAGCAGACAAGACAAGCCCCAAAAGGATGAGACAGCTTACACATTGCCCCCACATAAGCACCTACCCAGCAATAGTCGAGAGTCGTATCTGGAAGCCCAGCCGAACCCCACTCCATACCCTAAACGCCTAAATCATACAGTCTCAAACCCTAAAACCTAGCCCCTGTAGCCCTACACCCTACACCCCAGAACCTCAACCCTAAACCCCTAAACCCTAAGCCCGCAATCCCTCAACCATTAGCACTAAGAAGCGGGAATGACTGGCTGAGGTGGTCTGACCAGGCCGATGGAGTCAAGGCCATCTTTCACAAGGAGTCGTGGGGGAAAGGAATGTGATTTGAAGTTTAGGGGTTGAGGGGTTTAGGGTTTAGCGGTTTAAGGGTTTAGGGGTTCAAGGGTTTAGGGGTCTAGGGGTTTAGGATCAAGGGACCCCCATCATAAGAATCTCCAACAATGGACCCCTGATGCTTGCAAGGGTTTCGATAGGGCTTCCATGCGGTGGGCGTCCATTTTGTGCGAAGGCCTCAAACAAGCGAATAGGTTTTTGGGCTACCCTTATACCAGACCGCAGGTGATCGCATGTGCTATTATTCAGACCTCTACGTTTGACAGCCTTAGGTAATGAGGGTGCCCTTGGGCTCGTCTGCGGGCCTGGATCTTTGCATACAGTTCATGGGAGAGGGTTGTCACAAGCATTCTCGGGTCCTCATTATTATACGCAGGGAGGTGCGCTTCGTTAGCTATGTGCGGAGTGCCTCCTTCGCTGAGTTCGTGTTGTTACATAACACTTGTGTAGCTTTCGTGGAGCGTCATGGGTAGTTACAAGATGTTAGGATTTGCGCTTTACTTGCTCGAACTTTCTTTAAAACCATAGCTGCCATAGCTATCCTGCCTGTGACCACTGTTAGCCACATCTGCTAACCGCAAAAAAATATTACAGTAAGGATCCTATGTCCTTAGTTAAGGTGTGTTGGACTCTACGTAAGTGTAATGCCAGAGACCGCGAGGAGATGTTGGCCTCCGACATGGCCATCTTAGGCCCAGCGACGTGCAGAAGACTTGAAGCAGGGTTATACGTATGCAAAGGCTCCCATGAAATTTATCTAAGGAAGACTCTACCCTGGATGATAGTTGCCAGACATATTCCTTGAACAGAGCTTTTGCCATCACTGGGTCGACCGTGGTCCCAGCTCCTGCATGGGAATTCTATGCGTGGGGGGCCCGAATATGGACCCACCCCAATAGCCCCAGAATGGTCCCCCTAGTTTTGTGCTTAATTAGTTGGGAATCCGGGACATGGATTCCCACAGGAGTTCCCGAATAAGCCCTTCCAGAATCCTCTGACCCTGTTTCCCTCATTCCCGACCCTGAAATTTCACGAACAAAACAGCAGTTCCCGCTTTCTGTTTTGTTCCCCATTCCCAACATTTCCCAACTAGGCATGTCTAAGACGAACAGGCAGTGTACAATTCTTCATCGCCTGTTGGACGCTGCCTGGCTTCAGCAAGCAGACTTCAGCCTCTTACTACTTGGTGGTTAGGAAAGCAGTGGGTTATAGGGATGACCTCAGGGGTTGCACAGGGCCTACTATGGGGATCCATGCCTCCATAACTCCATCCCCTACCAAATCCAGAGCCCCAAACCTTGAAAATTGCTTAGGAAGTGTAAGCAGCCTAAAACGGCATGAAGTGATGGAAGTGATGGGCCCTTGCCGGGGTCCGTGCAGAGTGCCGCAATGTGCTTGAAGGCCTGGAACTTGCTGAAACTTTACAATTATTTCTGAAGACCTATCACACTCATCAGAAGGATGCGACGGCCTACATCGTAAATATGGCGCCGACCGAGGCAGCACAAGCCCCTCAGTTAGGAACATACTTTGCAGTAACTCATATGAAGGTTCCCGAGATGGCCCAGAAACCTCAGAGACATAAGGATTGCAAGGGGATTGCAAGGGGCCCTTATGGGATTTGCTATATCGGGTTCATGGAGGAAATTTTCATCAGCTCAACATCCTTCAAAACCTAGCACCCAAGGCGGCAAAAATGGGCTTAGTAGAGCCTACCCATTGAACTTGTCCAGGTATGGCGCTGGTGTTCCCAGTGGGCTGTTCTTGCCTTCGTTTCCTGGCTGAGACCAACAGTTGGACCGGAAAGAGCCCAATACGCCTTAGTTGAGGAACATACGCTAAATGATTTAGTTGGGGGGGTATTGTGCTCGCTGGGGGAGGTTTTCAAGGGCGGTTGAGCTCCCAAACACCCAGAAGACGAAGGAGAAGGAACATGGCCTGTATGTCATTTTGCGATGGTTGATGCCGATTATTCTTGTCATTTGGAAGGTCTAAGATGGTCACTGGACAGCCGCGCAAGCAAATTACCCAGTGCTTCAGCTCGCCAGGCAGCTGAAGCCTGAAACCCAACCCCAAACCCTATCAATCCTACACCCTAAGCCCTAAACTGCCTCTCCAGGTTGTTCCTTGGTGCCGCCTGGGGCAAGCTGTTTGGGATGGGTCTTTTCGAAATAGGCTTTCTTCACCAAATCGCTTCTCGGCTCTAACATAGGGCTTATTTGGGTTTGGTAGGGAATCGAGGCATGGACAATTTAAAGCTACAAAACATTAGTTCGGGCTGAGGACTGAGGATTTGATAGGGGATGGAGGAATGGATCCATAATGTAGCAGTCCCTGGACAATCCTGTGAATCAGGCCCTGCAACCCATTTCTTCTTTCCTTACTATCCACCCTAAACCCTAAACCATCATGGGCTCATGGGTTTGTGGTGTATGGAGGCGTGCTCCAAAACTTGGTTCCCTGAGAATAGCGGTATACCAGAGATAGGGATATCGGGGACGATCAGGGGATTAGAAGGGTTTGTATTGAGAGTTAGATAATACTCGACAATATTTAAGCTCTGAAGCAGCAGGAAAGTAGTCCAGAGTTTTCCGACTATTGACAGCAAGGATCTCATAGCATTCTCAGTAAAGTCTGCACTATCCTTTTTAAAGCGCAGTCAGTTGGCAAGTGAAGCTGCGTCTTGCCTCTGTCGTCACAAGCAAGAGCGAGCACATCATTCGACCAAGCTACTGCAGAGTGGAACTCATGAACCCTAAGCTCAACGCTTACGCATTGAATCATGACTCAGAGCGACGCTGACAAGTACGCCTTTGTTGGTTCAGCGGCGGCTTTATCTGGCCTCGGGCGCATTACGATATCCCTCTCTGCACCTCGGAACTCCAACAGCTTACAGCTTTACTTGCTGCGCCCAGAACTGGGTCATTGTTGGACGCGATTTTTTGGTTTTACAAGAACCCGGCAAGAAGTATACAAGGATCTGCTTCTAGTGATTTTCCAACGAATAAGGGGTTTCAGGTTGACAGTTGCGGCAGGGGATTTATTTGCTGGCAGTCAGGAGGGAAGATCACTATAGGGATCCTACTCATGTCTAGATGTAATTCGCATCACTTCGTTCTTTAACATCCTGAAGCTCCGGGGTCGTGACAGGGGTTCTGAAGGCGAGTATGTACTGACTACTCTGACTACTCTAAGGATCCAATTCTCCATGTCTCCATGTTCAACTTGTGTCGGGAGCCTTCAGAGACATGAAGACTGCTGCAGGTGGATTCTACTCTGCCAGCCATGAACAGCTCACCCAAAAAGGGCAAAAAAAAACAGGGACCACACATCCTGCTTGGATTTGGTATGCCCCTCTTTGCCTAGCTTGTGTCTGACATTTTGGGAGGATTCATCTCAAACAGAGGGCATCCAGGTTCCACATAAGGCCTTTGCCGCAATTGCGAAGCCAAGCAGTACCTAGAATGGGCAAATACGCATAACGATAGGCTTAGGAGTCAAAATGATGGGCATATAAGGCCATCATTATGGATATTTGCGAGGTGTAGGTACCCAAATTATGACCAAGACATGTCATGAAATCGGCTTTTTGCTGTTGCTACAGCTAGCATTAGTATTTTCGTGCTGTAGATAGCTAGCCCTGAACCCAGTGCAGGTAATAGTTATGGAGTGCACCATCAACAACCAGTTTGGGGTTCCGCTATTCCTAGCCACCATGCTGGCAAAGTGGGTTGGACGACACCTGGACGCATTCTAATCTGGCGCTCATTAAAAATGAAACTCCCCAGGCATGGGTTGTAAGGATCATTATAGGGGATTACGCGGGACCATCAACAATCTACACCCGCAGCACTAAATAAATACAGTAGATAGCTTCCATGTCTTCTATGTTTTCAAGTCCTGCCTGTGAAGTCCCACGACTACGACCCGGCAAGTAGCCACTGTCACCGAGCAGGCAACTGCAACTGCAGAAGGAACAAATGTATTGTTTGACGTGTTGCCCCGCATGACGAATATGACGGTTTTGCGCCTTCTTCCTCAGTCTGTACTATGAAGTACCGGTAGCTTTTGCGGTGGTCGTCGTCCTGGTCCTCGACCTCACCCTCATTGCCCTCATCGCATAGTTGCAAGAAACTCAATCCAAGTTACCAACAAGGCGCATCAGGAAGCACGCGGGAAAATCTGGTAGCTGTTGGTCACCCCCAGAGAAGCATGGCCTTCTTGCGCGTAGCAAATTTGAGCGCAGTGTGTTCACTATGCACAAATCACTTGCAACACCTTCCCCAAATGTCAACCCCACCAACTCTATAACATTAAGCATACACAGAAGAGCCCACTTGCAATGGGGTGGCACGTTTTTTTTTTTGGTGTTGGTTGGTTGGGATGTTAAGTATCAGGGAAGATGTTTTTGTTTGGATCTCCGTCCCCAGAACTGAACCGCCATTTTTGACCCTCGAGTTTGAGAACTGGGGCTGGCCTATAGGCCACTTTCGCACCGGCCTCTCAAAGGCTTCGTGAAAGTCTTCAATGTTGCAACATCATGCCCTTAAGCGGTGTCTCATGCATGAGTATTTTAAGGTGGATCCCTAAATTACCCTGAACGGCCCTTAATCCTAGTCTTGTCCGCTGAGAACTCTTCAATGAAGGGATCTACGACCTGCATCTAGAGCTCAAGCATCTTGCATCGAAGGCTGAGCCTTGCAGGACGGAGGTTCAGGGTTCAGGGGTCCAGAAGTCTGAGGAATTTGGACGTGTTCAGGGCTTAGTGCCTGCTTCAAGACTGCTAGTGGACCTTCAGCTTCTTTGATTCAGAGGGCCAAATTCATGCAAAGGGAGCTAGAAGAAGTCGAAAGAAGCCTAGCCAGGCAGCCCTGACCATGTCCTGATAGTCTCCCTGGGGCTTCGCAGCAAATGGCGGGATTGGCCGTAAGGGATTGCGACGGGAGATGATACAGGGACTGCTACAGAGATTCATTCTGTCAGTCCCTATGAAGGTGCATCAGGTAGTAGGTTTCTTGCTTGACAGGTTCATGTAGAGGAAGGTTCTAAGCTCTCGGTCGAGCAGGGTCCTGCAGCCCCATGCATAACAAGATGGAGCCGTGAGCATGCTAAACATGTCTTGAATAAGGGCGTGGTGCCGGGTTGAAACAGAGGGCCTCGCCTGGAGAGCTCGTGCGTTGGACGCACAGCTCCTGTGCCCCCACTGGGCTTTACCTTTAAAGGCTACCTTTTACAGATGAGCATCTTTGCACAAGCCCATGTGAGGAGGACTGTAGAGGACCCAAGGAGGCCTTAGGGTATACAGAACAAGATACATGAGATTTCATGTGATATTAATAGTAACCAAGCATAGTGTAATCAAAAGTTTTGGATATGTGATAACTTGTTATGTCACCACTCAATGAGATCTTAGCTATGGCCACGTTTGCTTATGGGCAAGGCTACCTCCCTTCACCGAGGGTTGAGCTTCTCAAAAAATTACATATACTCTAACATCCTTGTACCACACAAATAGAGCCAAGGGACAAAGTACCCCCGGTCTTGAGGAGCCCTAGACCAACACGATATACCCGATATCCCCCTTTTCAAGGAACCTAAGGGCCCCCCACTTCGGGAAACACCCATACCCTGCCCTAAACCTTGAATCCTAAACCCTCCAGGCGAAGCAAACTCAGAATTACTCCGGGCGCTTGTGCCTCAAATTTGCAACTTCAAGGCATTAAAAACATGACAAAAGCTAAATGACCCCCTGAACCCTACTAAGCGAACCTGAACCAAATCATCATCGAATTGTATTTACCTATGGCAATAAGCGTTAAACCTTAAGGCCTGAGCCCTGGACCTTGAACTTAAAGTTGGCCTTGAGCTAAGGCACGTGCCTTTGCTGGAGCCCATGGGCGGCAAGGCTGCGGGTGCGGCGTTTGATGGTGGGATCCTTCAAGTTTAGGGCGTTTGTGGGTTCGGGGCCGATGAGGGCTTTACGTTTGATAGGGTTTAGGGGTTTTGCAGTATATAGCCCCTATATAACCCTTTAAAGGGACCTAGGGTTTCCATTTTCTTTACCATTATCCCTATATAACCCCAATATATACCCCCAATTTAATCCCTATATAATCCGTATAGAAACCCTATAATATACCCCTATATAATCCCTATATAACCCCTTTTGTGAGCTTAAAGTTGCCGGGTTATTGGGCTTCCGGTCTTGGGCTCTCAGGCTGAAAACCGCAGGGGTACTACTGGGGATTAAATTGGGATAATGGAAATGGAAACTATAGGGATTATAGGGTTTATATAGGGGTTAGATTGGGGTTATATAGGGATAATGGAAAAGAAAATGGAAGCTACTATTTAGGGTCTAGGGTTAGGTCCTAATTTTTCTTCCTTTCATTCTGCACGCCGCTGCCCCCTATTCCAGACCCCCACAAGGATCTAATTATTAGATCCCCTAGAACCATAGGGGGAATTATATAAGGATTATATAGGGGTTGTAATGGGCCTACATAGGGGATCTGTCTATATAGGGGTCTGGGTATTCCCGTTATGGCAATTCGAGATGCTGTAGAGTGCTTCTCAAAGGAAGGGTGGGGGGTGGTGATTTACGAAGGAACAGGACTGTTTGAGAGGCACCTCAGACGCAATCCTTTCTCCCCCAAGGAATACATACATACATACCCTCCTTCATTCATTCATTCGTTGACTCATTCCTTCATTACCTCAATGGTGTATATCCCCTCGCCTTGAAAGAGACTCGAGGGGCCCCAATTCTGCAAACGCCATACCAGAAGCCCTAAGCCCTAAACCCTGGCAAAATTGTGACCGCACCCTGTCTCACCACAAGTCGTGGTTTAATTACATAGAACATAGTCTGCAGGCTTGGGACTTATTCTAGAGTCGCCGGTAAATCCCCCGTAGACAGTTCATGTGAAAGCAGCGTTTATAGCAGGAGCTGCTGGACCTCAGAGCCATGGATATCATGGCCCGAGACTCTTGGACTGAACCGAGACTTGGGCTTTTTGGGTGGGTGCCTGGGGTCCATTCCGGGGACATAAGGTATCTAAGGTGTTGCTGTTGCAAGATTATCTCCTCCCCTGGCTAGCACATCTAGGCGGAAGGAATGGTGGTAGTATGGTATACTAGAAGGCTTGTAGGGTTCACTCCCTCAACAGCATGGCTAGGGTCTGAGTGAACTAAGGCAAGCTGGCTTTCAGCGTGCTGGAACTTGTTAAGGGATGAGGATGTAGGGTCTAGGGTTTAGGCTTCCGTTTTGTAACATTGATTTGTTCGAACTGCTGCTGAGTCATATATGGGTGGTCAACAACGAGGATCCCACATACGTTGTGCTACGAACCAGCTGCTTGAAAAAGCCTTGCGCTGGGAGCTTCTCAAGTTGTAATCCTCACAGAACCCCCACAAAGGACAGCCATAATCGCTCCGTGATCCCCAAAATCCATAGGGTAACGAAAATTACTTCCTTTCTGAGAACTTTCAGGCTGCCCAGGGGTACCTCATTTGACAAAGCCCCGTGCTCAAAAGCCACAGCAGCCAGGACATCAAGTCTTTGCCGCCCACTGCTCCTGTGAAGCAGCTGGTCGGCTTGCTTCAGGAGACGTGCTTTAAGGTTTGGGTTGTGGCTTTGAGTTTTACAGTTTAGGATACACGGGCTTTGAGTTTTACAGTTTAGGATACACGGCCCGGGATTTGAGCGTGCGGTTTAGGGCTTGAGAATATGTGGGACACAAACTTTATACTTGGGTTTTGGGCTTTAGGGTTTATATGTCTCAGGCGTCAGGGATCCCAGTTTGGGGGGAACATGTTCTGTTCTGTGAAGTGGTCTACGTCATCTCATAGGTTCTGCAGATGGAATATTATTCTACAGAGGCTTAGATATGTTACAAAGATTCTCACCCCAGAAACCTTATTGCACACAATCACAGCAAAACATGTCCCTGAACCCTATTATTGTTTTCTTTGTATGAAGCCAGGCTGAGATATTTTGGTGACCAGATTTCAGTTTCTAGCGCTGGTGCTGGTAAGCTCGGTAGCAAACCTTTGACCGTTACCATCCTGACATAGTTCCTAGGCTAGGCTTTTTGGAGGACGAGGGGAACTTAGCAAGTTGGACGCATACAGTATCTTCAACCTTGCAACTCAACTCTTGCCACAGCAGTGGTCTAGTTTGATGGTGACAGGATGAGAGTCACAACCACCATGGGTTTCCAGTCGTCGACATGCCGGGCGCCCTGCATCCGGCTGCCACTTTAGATGTATAGTGCCACTTTTTCCGGTGTGTAGGGGGGAGTGGGGGAGTGAATATGGAAATAACAGTAAGTATACTTATGAGGATTATTGGAGGGATCCACTCCCCCACTCCCCCTTCAGCAGCAGTGAGATTCCTGAGGGGCGGCACAGACAAACGGCACCATTGCATGGATGTGGAAGTTTCTCAAAATTCCTCATAGGATGCCCAACATCGCCTTGCAACACGCATATATACCTAGGGTCCCGAGGGCGCCCTGTGTCTAGAATGTCCACACGACAAACCTGCATAAAGTTCTCAATGGATTTGGGTTTGGAATCAAGGGTAGGGGGGAATCCGTACGTTGCAGGGGGCGTGTAATGTAACCAGTTGCATATTCATAGCAGTTCTGGTTCTGACTTTTGGGTCCCTGAATTCCTCTGACATTTACCAGCCCAAAAGCATGTTGAAACGAGACGCGCCCCGTGAGAAACTTGATGCTACACAGACATGGTTCATGCTAAACTTAGCACGTTTGTTTGTTTGGAACCTCGGCCAGAATGAAGCAAATTCCATTCCCAACGCCAAAGGAATGGACTCCATGCTCTACTGAAGGCCGTTCCTGCGAACCTAGAAGGCCTTGTAGGAGTTTCACGAAACATCCTTTACATGTTCGAGACATCTTGTGTCAGAGACACCCCAAACCCTAAACCTGACCCCCCCATAGTTTGTTGAAGCGACCTACTAATTAGAGCGCCCAGTCTTACAAAACCTGAAGCCCTAAATCAAAATGCATACCCTAGACCCCCTAGACCCCACACATGCTCTATAATCCCCTTGAAAACTACATGTTTCTGAGAAAGCGCGAAGATCCTTGTAAGCTTTTTGCATAGCCAGGTCCTCAGGCGTCTTCTTGGGTCTCATTCGGCGCAGTGAGCTTCTTCATATCCTGGAGCGAGGCCTGTTGACGATGTTGAACTTACATACAGGGTGATAAGTATTTTGGCTTTTGGCATAACCAAGAATAGCTATTGACAACACCAGCTGCTCATGAACCTGCAAACGGGGCTTAGGGCTTTAGGGCCCGGACCTTAAGTGCTAAATTCAACCGGTAGTTTCGACTTTTGTTTTTTTCTCATTACACACTTGTAACCGCTGTGCCGCGAAGGCAAGAGGTTCAGCTTCGAAGCGAATCATCAAGGCCGGCTTGGGCGTTGGCTGGCCTTTGGTTAGCTGGGAATGCAGGAATTGAAAAGAAAATGGACAGTGCTGTAATAGGTCATGTAGGGCCTACAAAAAGGATCCATTCCTTCATTCCGAGCTAGCCAAGGAAAGTGGGTGGGGTCTAGGGCCTAGGGTTTGGGCTGGGGCATGAGGTGTTACCCTTCCCTAAGCTAACATGGAACCCCAAACGGGATCTTCAAAGACCACTGTCCGCCTGGGGTTTCATGTTAGTTCGGGGGATGTAGAAAGGAAAGAATTCGAGAAACTAGGGGTGGACTTTGGTTGCTGATGCATTCAGGGAGCCAGTGCTAAAGAAGAAGAAGAAGGAGGAGGAGGAGGAGGAAGAGGTACAGTAGCAGCTCTGCTTGCTAAGCAGGTGGTACCAAGGTGACTGAGTACGCTTTGCACAGCATGGAGGTCCGATATTGTCTCTCTTTCGCACATGCCATTGTAGCCCGTGGTTGGCTTTCGCAGGCCGGCCTTTGGCAGCATGGGTTAATGTCATTGGTACGGCAGCTTGTATAGTCCCAGCAGTAGCAGTGGTGGAAAGAGAAGCCCTTGTCCTCTCAGTAATACTACTGCCTTTCCTTTCTAGTTGCAGTCATCAAAAACAAGTTACTTCGGCGCGTGCAAGGGTTTCACCTGCTGGGAGTTTTTGTTGTTCAGTGCTGCCATGCTGGCTAAGTGCAGAATTTCTGGCGTTCAAAACGTCAATCTGGCAGCCGTCTCAGCCTTCTTCAGTCATGTGAGCTTGAGGGAGTAGGTCTGCGATTGGGCCTACGCTAGATTCTGCCTGCAAGGTGCCTTTGGGGGTCAGAAGGATCTCGTGCATCCCATGGTGTATAACCTCACTCCGGAAGAGCCGCTGAGCCAACAACTTGGAATCCAAAGCTTCCAGATAAGGTGGGTTTCCAGAAATCGAGGTTGTGTTTGACTTAGAGAGTCTCGGTATGTCTTATGGGAGTCCGCATTGTAAGGAGGTAAGGAAAACAGTATTCTGGGTGTATATGACGGTTCGTTTTCACAGGTCACGGCTGTCCTGTGAAAATATGGGAGTTCATTGGTGGCTCTTCGTTACCCTACATCTAGAAAAGAATCTGAAGGAAGCTATAACGTGCGCATCAGATATTCACCAGCGATAATGTTCGGAACCCCCACATGTTATCAACAATGTCCCTCATTGGTTTAGAGGGATACTATATACTGACTGTCAAAGCAGAACCTAGGTCTTTAGATTCCATGGAATGCTGCTTCGTAGACTGGGTCGCCAAGAAGAGACGCTTTCCTGGTGTTCTACTTGCCAAGAGAGGTATCTCTTCAGTAGCTGAATAAAAGGTTCAGCTGCTTTGGGCAAGGGAACGCAACAAGTTGGTCTTGTTGTTCCTGCATAATCCCGCATACTCCATGCGTATCCTGAAACTTCCTCGGGTTTCCCTATGCGGAGATACCCTTTGCGAACATAAACACAGGATTCTGGAGCAGATATCCGAAGAGGACTTGGACAAACAGGCGATGGAGTCGTGTGCAGTTGTTCATGTGCGCTGCGTGACCGCATGCCACTTCTGCCATGGATGCATGCACGTAGAGATGTAGGGTTGCCAGTGGGCAGAAGGAATATTCAAAAATGTTCCAGCATAGTCGTTTTTAAAAGCATCGTAGAATATACTCCCCAACGCCATTCTGATGATTTGGCCGCCCTAGAATAGTAGCTCTGCGGTACTCTCGCATGTTTCCCAATCCCATTGTGGCATAGTAGCTCTGACCTTGTGCAGGTCAACCTGATGCCGTACATGAATCGCGCAGCATACACTGTGCCACACAAGGCTGGGTATCTAATCTTTCTGGATTGAACCGTATAATCACCTCCCCCCAATAACAACCAACTCCACCTCCCCAAAAGTGAATAATCATTCGGCATCTTAAACTTTGGGCTGGGATGAAATCGAAAGCTTCGACCCCCTTCACCCACCTCTTACGGCCTTACGGTGTGGGCTTGGGTCTGGGGGATAGTAAATAGAGGATGATCCTAAGACTAATAGAAAGAATTTTCGTGGAATTCTAGAACGAGTTGTAAACAGAATTATGGAGGGAATCATACGGCATCAGTCAGACATGATAGGAAAGTTTAGGTTACGGTATCGAGCCCTGAAACCTAGACCCTAAACCCTGTAGGACTCTACTATAGGCTGCCCCATAGGTTTGCAGTCAAGATTTAGATATACCACAGCTTCAGTCTTCCTGCTGCGCTGTTGATGTGATGTAGGAAGGCAACTTCATCTGGCTGCTCCTCAAAATGGGGAAGAAATTAGGAAACTAGTTTGAGAAACTCTTATATACAAGCATTCCAGCTGCAGAATGGCATGTCCATGCCAGAGCCTGTTGAACATGTTGCTGAGGCATCGGTGCTGCGATGCTTTGCGATTTTCCGCTCCATCGGGCAGCTCGCCTAGGAATGAAACGTAGATAATGGTCATACTAATTAGCAATCAAGAATACTTGTTGTATCTATAATAATGACAGTTATTGTAGTGCTTCCGACAACCGTCGAAACCGAAAAATGTGTAACACCTGAAAATAACAATCAATCGCGTTTCATGAGACACAAGACCAAAACTTCTAAGGCTTAGACACCTGCCCGTCCTCGATGAGCAGAGCCGCCTGAGGGGACTGATAACGCGCAAGGACAGGGGCTTAGGGGCTTCCTACTGCAAGTACTGAGTGTTTCTAGAAACATGCCCTGTGAAATCCTGATTAAGGACCCGCACTATCCCGTTCTTAACCCGCATTGTTATTCCTAGGGGTCTGCAGGGTGCACCTAGTAGTGATACATTGAGCAAGAACAAATTTTGGAAGACCCCGCTCTCCAAAATGCTTTACAGGACAAGATTGCTCTCTCTAAAGAGTGGAGTTGCACTAGCCGCCACACGAGCGTGCGCTGCTTGAAAACATAATGGCATGGTCATTTGGAACGCGCCGAAAAACCTGTAAAGCTTAATTCAGCGGCACTTGATTTCGATGACAAGCACTCCTGCAGCGGGACCCTAAACTCCAATCCCTCCAAGCTTTAAACCTGAGCCCCAAACCCCAAACTCGAACTAAAACGCCTGCTGGAGGACCTGCTTTTGGAACATCTTCATGAGAAGAAGCGACTGGACTGCAGTTTCAGGTTGCTGGGGCCTGCTCTGCTTCGCACTTTAGTAACATGATATTGGATGGCGGGAGACAAGCACAACAATTACGTCTTCTTGTTTTTGAGACGAGCTTGAGGTGGGACATCTATGCCAGCGACGACGAATCTGATGAGGATGAGAGCGCTTGATACGCATGGGCAGCAGCGCCTGAATGAAAGATTTGCGTGAGGATCGTTTACGTGAATTTGTCGTTTCAGGCTCGGTCGATGTCAGCAAAGAGTGGCGGCACACGTGGTTACGTAGGGTTTTTTGGCACCTTCTTTGTTCGTCAAGAAACTGTATGGGAAGCTTGTGTAATTGGCAAGGGACACGTTGTGGGGGTTCACGGGAAGAAATGAAGATTTCGTTTCAAGGACTTGTAAAGGCGATACTGTTTTTGGGAGCTGCAAGCTAGGCTGGAGGCTTGTCTTGAGGGCGTTCGCGTGAGCTCTGCTACCTAACTCGTTGTCTGCCTCGGCGTTTTCACTCAAAGGCTCATTTGCCAGCATGCGCTGCTGCTTTGCTGCGCTGCGGGTGCTGCGACATCTTGGCATCCTTTCCTGGCACGTCCCACCACGGCACGCTGCACAGATGCCGGAATGCCAGCTTGTAAAGCCCAAGGGTCCTGGAGTCCACATCAACGTAGCCCAAATTGGGCGTTTCGCAAATGGGGATGGCGGCCATCGGGACTCTGGGGATCTATGGGGTTCTAAAGAAGTCAGAAGGTTTTTCCGTAATTGCTTTGTTCACAGAAACCCTGCATGGACTTGCTGTGCTGCTGCTATACTAAACTAGCATAACTTCCGGGGCATGTTGAGTCATGCAAGTTTTTTATCAACAATACCCATACCCCTCCCAAAGTTCCTCCTCATTAGGCCAATCCAGGGTTAATTGAGGCTAGTTCAAGGGAGCATTAGTCGGGCAAGGGCGTGTACGGTAGCGGGAGCAAATAGGGACCTCATAAGTTGCCATCTAGTTGAGGTTCTAAAACTTACAAAAACTGCAGGACAAAACAAGACGACCTATCCCGACCTTGCCCCAGATGGTTGTTGGTTGCTATGGAAAGCGCATGGCCTTGTTTCAGGCTTTTGCAAATATTCTTCATCAGCCTGCGCGAGCCAAAGACCGTTTGCAGCTGCAAGAAGTAACAGAAGTGAAATCCAAGTGGCCCTTGGTTCGATAAATTTGAATCCAATGCATGCCCTGGCCCCAGACTTGCACCGACAGCTCTAGGTGAGTGGGGCTTTATGTTTAACAGACAGGCGCTGCTGTCAGTGTTCGATGGTTTGGAGATGCAGCATCCGAGTACACCCTAATATTGGTTCGTTCTAGTGCTTGCTTCATGGCAATTTGTCTTTGGTTGCAGATGACGAGTCCACCCTTGACTTTCCTGGCACATCCAAGTGCAACAGTAACTACGCTAGAAACGTTTTTGGCATGCAGTCTGAGCTTAGTGCCACCGTGTCTCTTCACAGATGCAAAGAATGAGAGGGTTCCGGTAGCCCCGAACTCCGACATTCGAACAATGTTACAGGAATGTGATTCCTACAGGATCCATTGGGGGGGGGGGTTGTTAGCAAAACCCTGTTCACGGCCTTGAACTCTCTACATTATTGTTAAGCCCTAGTGTTCCTGTAAATCCGATTTGATTTTCCCTTGCTTCTCGGAAGCAGGTAGCCCTGCCAGCCAAGGGAAGAAGAGAATGTTCTTGCTCTCACTGAGGAATCCTTAATGGGGCCTCATCTAGAGGAGGACTCATGCCTAATGACTCCCGAAGATCTTGCCAAGGCCCACTGAGGTCCCGAAAGGCCGCTAATGGCACCCTTGTATAGGGCTTCTTTCATTACATAAACATCCTGCAGCTCAACAAGACACGGCGCTTGCACCTGCGTACCTGTTCCATTGGAGGGCCTTCCATTAAGAAACACACCGTTGATGGTACTGAGATCCCGTATGATTCGGTGTATATCCCTGATCACAGGGGTATTGGGCTCCCCACGCAGCTGGTCTGTTTCATTCGTGCTTGGAGATGCTCGCAAGTTCAAGAAGCTGAAGGAACACTGACAGCCGCGCACAAAGCTCATGCCGGGTTGCTCAATCACTCTTCTGACGAGAGCCGACTAGGAGCCACATCCAAACTGGACGAAGACAGCGGAAGTCTACCTAGCCCAGGTCTTTGCATCGCAAACTACATGCTTGCATGGTTCCTTACACACGATTAGAATGAACCGCTAAGGCCACGTAATGAAGGTATCAGCTTCAGAGTTCAAAAGGGCGAAAGATCCCGGAGTCCAACAAGGCCGTGTACCTTGCAAAGCGGATATGCGTGATGTGCGTGTAGTAGGATTCAAGTCGGAACCGTAAACATGTGTGCCCATGCTCACAGATGCTCCGGCAAGCGGAGTGATTGGGCCGCACCCTGGAAAAAACGTCACGAGATCCACGGCGCGCCACCAGAAAAAGGCTGCCAGATGCGCGATGTGGGACAACATGCGTGGTGACCGCAAGATCTCAGGATTGAGGTTCGAAAGGGAGGTTTGAAACCCTGGACCCCAGGCCTGAAACCCCAAACCCGATGCACTTCGGTTGACTTTCACATTAACGTGACGGCTCAAAAGCGGCAACAGGCTGCCCGAACAACGGGCGGTGCTGGCCAGCGTAGGATCTAGGGTTGGAAATTCAGTTGTGAGGGTTTGGAGTTTTAGAGAAGATGTTGAGTTCATTGTTCAAGGTTTACGGTTTAGGCTTTTTTGGTTTAGAGGTTCTGGCTCCCTTGTGCTTCAGCCCCTGAGGCACAGTTGGAGTAAGCGTCAGGCCAAGAATGATACCATACCTTCAGAACTGCGGCGATTGCTCCGTAAGTTGGAATCATTACCAAGATTCTTCCGGACACGGCTTATACAACCATTAGTACAATGTACCCCCAAACCCTATAACCCTATATTACTTCGGCCCTTAGATTAGTTGATGCTCATACGCATGCCAGCTCCCCAACCTCGCATCTTGCAAGCCCAGCGTGGATATTTGGAATGACAATGGGCTTACATTGCAGCCATGGAGCGTTCCTCACTGTTCTCGATCTCCATCTCTTGCCCAGCACTGAATCTCAAGGGCAGCCTGGCTAAACAGTGCGAGGATTCTTGCTTTTTCTGCTCCTGGAGCCTCCTGCATTTGTCCCACTGTCACCCAGAAGCATAGAAACCAAGCCTGCAGCCTGAATTAGAGAGCATCTTGTTTCAGGCAGCCCTGAATGGCCTTTTTCGAAGATTCTTGAACTCCACCAACTGCCGCTCACAGGCTCCCGATAACTTGTAGGAAGAGCAAGGTCGAGTTATGGCCAGTTAATTTTAATCTCCTGTAGTCTCTTTGTGTCAGTGTTATAGTATCCCTTCCTAGGAAACCCTCAGGTACCTGGGTTCTGCATCTGGCTGGACAGGCAAGGACGGGCTAGAAGGAGACACAAAGATGTAGCTAGCAAACCTGCGGGGAGACCTGGGTACGGAGGATTAGGGGGAATCTCGCGAACCCCCCGCCCCGCCTCCCAAAGACCTTGTGGCGGTTTTCTTGTAGGAAGAGTAAGTAGAGACTCAAACATGGGCGTTTCCATACATTGGGGGAGCACCAATTTAGAGCCCAACAGTCTTTTCCTCGAAATAAGGGACCCCCAACAGGGGACCTCATCATTCTTTTTGGAAGCCCTTCCTTTTGGCTTCATCAAGTGCACAGCGAAGCTCTGGAACAGGCATGCAATTTTGGGTGAAGGGTTCAGTCTGCAAGGGATTGAGAGTGAGCATCCATCACCGAGAAATGGACGGGTGTTTCTTTCCATGGCTGCTTTATCAGACGGAGCTTGTCACCTTTTTTCTGCCAATGGGCTGCGCCTGCGTCCTGTTTACTGCCGGCTCACACCTGAGGAGTGACCTAATATGTCTTTGCCCTATTCCAACTAGGTGATATTCTGAAGTCCCTAAAGCTTGCTACTCGAATTGCGGCTAAGGGAAACGCTCATCTTTCCTAATAAGCCTGCCTAGAATAGTAGGTGCATTCCATCCTCCATCCAGAAGCACCGTTAAGTCAAGCAGTACTGAGGGCTTAATGTCACCCAGAGATCACGCGAGGCTTGCGAGAGACCACCGCGGAAGGTCACCAAGGATCTCATAACTGTCGCACTGAGGGTGAGGTTGTGCAATGCAACCACCATCCCCACGAGCAAATATATCCCCAATGTACACGGTCTGTTATCAGAAATATTTGATATTAGTGGGTGCAGGGTGGTTGATGAGAGTACTTGGATCAAGCTCGCAACAGGTTAGGTCGCATGGATGGTTGGACATGGTAAAGGGGTTCATTTTTTGGAGCAGCTACAATCGGGCCAGAGCAGCATTTCGCAGAGCACAATGCGCTCGGCAAGCCTTGCTGCTCGTCCTGGCCCACCCCACCACAGCAAGTCCTGAATTCTAAGCTCTAAGCAGGCGGCAGAGCTCGTGCGGGAGTGCTTTTCCAAATTCTTGGACGTTCTGCGCTCCAGCGGAGCGGTGGCTGTTGAGAAGCAGGCTGGTGGGCTTAGTGAGTAAAGGCATTGGGGCTTGGTCCACAGTGGGAGTTTCTAAGGGAATTCTTCTAACGAGGGATGCGCTTACAATCTCCACTCTTCCCGAGGGTCCGCAAAGGCCTTTGAGTTGAGAAAAAAGAATCCTGATCGTGATGGTCCCCTATTATGATAAGCCGGAGGTGACGGTGTTTCAGACTTGTTTTTCGAACGCTGGATTAGCAATTCCAATCAGGGCCATCATTTGAACAAACCAGTCCGAGGAGCACAGGCAGGGATAATCCATGAAAAGCCAGGAAGAAATTTGGACGTTGATTCAGGTGTCCATGGGCTTGAGCGGCCCTAAACCCTAGATTCACCTGTTTTTTCATTACTGCTTCCCTTCCCCGTAGGCGGTTCAAGTGCAGGTCTGCTGGCCTGTGCGCACTGCAGCAGAATTCAGCTCTCAGAACTTGCCTGTGTTTTGGACTTCTCCGTGTTTTGTAAGACCTTGGGCAGGACTTACGAACCAAGAGTGCAGGCAGTTAAGGGCACACCAGTAGTTAAAGACCAGTTGCTGAGTATTATTGTCACAGACCATCTCCCTACGATTTCCTCTTG